TAGCTTTTTTTTTTCAGTTTTGAGAGCCTGCAAGGGTAAAAACTTCGAAAAGAACTATTGCACCAGTACTTAGTCTAAAATATTTTTATTCTTTAAAATTTCCAGAAGGAAATTAGTTTTTATAAACCAAATGGCATTGATTGGCTATGATTTAATTTGTGAATATCTCTCAATGCAAAAATTTATTCAGTTATCAGTTTTAGTTTTTAGATTTTGTTCAGTTTATATACCATTTTTTGAGTGAAATCGCCAGTCTAAAACTGAACATGAAAGCGTGTAACGCTATCCCAGGGACCCTATATGTTGTATCTGAAAAAATGCTGCAATCAATGAGAATAATAGGTGTACTGAAAGATTTAATTTCGAATTGGCTTTTAATGTTGCCTTGGATGGCAAATTCCCGGAGGTGGGGACTTTTGAGCTGTCAAGTCCCTCAGGGTGGGGACGAAAAAAGAGGGCAAATGCCCCGTCCTCCGTCAACACGGCATGATGTTTCATTACTCATTAAGGGTTATCGGTGAGCCAAATATGAGCGAAATCAAATTTTGAACTTGTGCCGACCGTGGGTCGATATTTACGGAAAGCCACTCATAAGTGCCAAGATATGGCGGCGATGCCTGGTTAAGTAATTAAATGCAAAGTGATCTCGTACCGCCAGTGATACTACTGGCGGGCATACGCTGACCTCACAACCAAAATTTCTCGGGTGGATAGTTTGCCAAATTTTATGGGGCTCCGCTTTTAAAAAAATTATCTCGATTTTGCAGGCATCAGGAACTTTAAATCAACTACTCGGAGCCTCGTTTTCATGTCCCAGTAGTCACGTGAAAGCAATAAATTTAGTCGTACTCTATTGCATAATTAACGAATCCTAAGACACCTTTTGCTGTTCATTACGAGAAAATACGCATTCATTTTTGTGAAACGGCGACCAACAGCACGGAGATACATTCATTAGCGCGAAAAAGCGAACATTTGCGCCTAAATCAGATTCAATAACGATTTTTGCATTTTAATCAGCATTCAATAACCTTTTTGGGCATTCATTTGCGTCATTCGACATACAAAAGAGAAAAATATACTTTCATTAACGCCAACATTCGAGTCATTAACATTATCTTGAAAATCATTAGGGACAATAGACAAACATTTAAGTGCAAACGTTATTCATTAACATTTTTATGACACTGTTTGCAATTCAACAGCATTCCTTGACAGCTTTAGAATGGATAAGACAAACATTAATGCCCTTTTACAATCAATTGAGTGTTCTTTACATTTAATATACAAAAATCTATTTTCAATTAAACAATACCAATTCCCTCCCCCCTAAAATTGGCCTGAATTTATTTAAAGAATCACGCCGTACTTCGCCACTGAGTGTTCGTCGACGGCTGCGGCTATACATTTACCCTAGACGGCCAGAAGTCATGGTGGAGTGCGACAGGGAGTGGAAGGCGTACCGCTAAGTGTGCGGCCAACGAGGACGAAATTTGACAATGACCATGGCAATACCACCTATCAGATGTTTTCCTCGGCAGCTGCTGGAGTAATGAATACTGTTTCGGTTTTTTTTTTCTGGCAAGGGCGAGGAAAAAATGGATCCCCATAAGTCGGTGGTCTTTGGTGATGACGGGGTGCCAGCTCACCTAGATTTGGCCATTCCCGCCCAATACGAACACAGCTTATGCTTCCCCCCTCGACATCGTTGGAAAGGATTTAAGTTGTCTGAAAGCGACACCAAAGGCCGACATCTCGAGTCCGGAAATTAAAAGATGTATAACACGAATGGGGGCAAAGCCCTAGCAATACTCACTAGCGGAGTTCGGAAACAACAACTGCAGTGCTTGAAGCTGTGCGCAGATGATGACATTGTGACCGCAGCTAAATGTGCTAAGGGGTACTATTTCATGCAAACCTACCTCCCAAAATTTTTAAATAGCGAGGTTTTTGAAGGATATTCAGTTAACGGACTGAAATTCAGGCCAAATTTGTTTGAATTTCTATTGTTTAATTGAAAATCGATTTTTGTATATTAAATGTAAATAACACTCAATTGATTGTACATGCGCATTAATGTTTGTCATATCCATCCTAAGGTTGTCCAGGAATGCTATTGAATTGCAAATAGTGTCATAAAAATGTTAATGAATAGTGAATAATGTTTGTCTATTGTCCCTACTGACTTTCAAGATGGTGTTAATGACTTGGATGTTGGCGTTAATGAAGGAATATTTTTCTCTTTTGTACGTCGAATGACGCAAATGAATGCCCAAAAATGTTATTGAATGCTGATTAAAATGTAAAAATCGTTATTGAATCTGATTTAGGCGCAAATGTTCGCTTTTTTGCGCTAATGAATGTATCTTCGCGCTGTTGGTCGCTGTTTCACACAAATGAATGCGTATTTTCTCGTTATGAACAGCAAAAGGTGTAATGTGTGGGGATTTGAGCCATGTTTATGGAAGGTATGATAAAGTTTTATCTACAGCCTCGTTTCCATGCAGAACGTCTCACGTCTTTTTTTAAAATATACCGTAGAACGCCTCCGTGCGGGTTGCAAAAGTGGTAACAACGATTTTTTTTGTTCTTTTAGGTTCCCTGAACACAACTAGCCTAGTTGCTTGCTTTCTTCACGAAATACCTATGGAACCTGATCTTTTAACATATGCTCTCCGACTAACGGAGTACAGCGGAATATGGCATAGGGTGAAACATCCACAGCCTTTCAATTTTGATAAAAAATCGGAGTGCTAGTGAAACATTGTGTCCGAAATTTCAATTTTTAGTCTTGTCAAAATCGCCCCCCCCCCCCCCCTTAATCCCGCCCGGTCTTGTAACAATAATAAACGGAGGCCGTCAGGGGAAGGGAGACAAAATTGGCAACATTTTTGAGAGAAAAAGGATGCTATCAGTTGCCATGATGTAAATACATTATTAACTATTTGTTTGCTTTCTAAAAATTAACCTCGCAAAACTCCAATTTTTATGAAGAAAATTGTCCCCCAAAACGCATTTTGTTGACCAAAGTTCTCCCCGATGTCGAGGGCATGATTTTGTTAGAAATCAAACAAATGCCACAATTTTTTACGTTTGCCTTTGAATCACTCACATTAGTGTCTTACGCACCAGTTTTGTTGGGCTTTGAGCAATTCAATTCCTTGCGGAACGCATTAAAGAAAGAAAATAGGAAGGCAAAAAGTTACCTCAACAAATCAACCAGAGTTGTGATAACACTAAACCTAATATTATTTACATTCAGCAGACTGTTGCCGCAACTTTTGGTCAATGAGCTTATCCTTTATTATAATTATGCCTTTTCAAACTAAATTACATTCAGAAAAATAAAAAAGCAATTTAATTCTTTGTGTTCAAGTTTGATGATCAGTAAATGAAATTATTGTACTACAGTCTATTAAACCTACTAAATGGGCGCCACCTAAAATAGTAACAGTTGGCAGGAGTGGTCGCTTAACGACAGTTGGACCCCAACGAACGGGTCTGTCATGCTATCTGGTCGGGACTACAAATAATAACACAGGAAGTTAAAAGTATGAAACTTTGAAACTATTAACCTATATGTGCCATTTACAACTGAGCTGCAGTACGAGCACTGCCATGTCGGTCTCTATAAAATGTCTGGCGTATTGTGAGTTACGTTTTACATGATAGTTAGCGAAGGTAACGAACTCTGTATCACAAAAATTAACACAAGATGTTGAAAAGGATGAAACTTTAAAATCATAGCCTAAGAAGTAGTCGCGATTGAGAGCTTAAACGGGTGTGCGACAAATGCAGACACTGGCAAGTAAACAAAGTACACAGTGTTGTGAACAGGGTGTGTGAAAGCTCTCAAAACTAGGAGTTAAAGAAGACGTAACATTAGGATAGTTTTAAGATCATTTCACAACATTTTTTACCCTTTTTACTTGCAAGTCTGCATGCAGACTGCAAACATGCAGACTTGTTGCACAGCTAGCTTTAACTGAGAAAAAGTTGGGGTTTTGAAGCGTTGGTATCCGGTTGAGAGGAAGTGGTCACTCATGCAGGTTTGACTGTACTGTCTCATCAAAAAGTCGATTATTATGACTACCTCACTCGCTAAAATTTATTTACGTCATTTCATGGCTAAATTAATTTCCTAAAAACATAACTCAAATCTGGCAACTGAGATGTGGAATGTTATAAACAACATTATCAGTTACAACCTAAACCTTTAAGCAAAACTATTTGGGGTTATAAAGTTGGCTTATTACTAAGTTAGTTGTGTCAATAACAAAATTCTCGAATCTGATTGATTCTCAGCTGCCCTTAAGTATTGTTTAATTTGGCTGATGCAGCACCAAAACTCAGTGTTTAATTTGACCTGTCCGATTACAAGTTGCTTGTAATCGGACGTTGATCCTCCAATGAAAATCTAGCATCAAATGTTGCTAGCCAAATATTTGTCCATTCTAGCTATTCAAAACCTAGGAAAAGCTCCAATAAGCAAGTTTTCAAGCTTCATAGTTTCTCCGGCAAAAGTTGTAAGCCATGTTTTTGCTTTGGAACTTGTAAGCTGGTGTAATAAGAACTTTGTACTTTAATAAATATTCCAATCCTAAGATTCGCACACTCTGTTATTGACACAATTAATTGGTAACACGACTTTGTGTCGTACAATTCAGGGTAATCAGACTCGTACTGTTCCAAATCGTCCTCGTGTTACGCGCTCGGCCGATCTGAAATTACACGCCGTTGATTGCTCCCTGAATTGTACTCCACTCAGTCCTATTACCATTATTTATTGCCTTTATTGCTTCCTTCTAAGCTTGCTTACATATGCAATGAAATATGACAAAACTAGGTTATGGGTGTTATGGGCACTGAGGTCTACAGCAGACAATGCTGGTATACAGGTGCTGAGTAAGTGTAGAGCAGCTCACAACTTCATTATCTTGATCCAAGTGGCAAGTTAAGTAATAGACGCACTTAACTGATCGTATTTCACATTCGTATGTCCAAAGAGTGGGACTGCATGGAGGGATGTTGTTGTCACAGAGGATAAATTTTTTCGTTCCCGTCTGGCGTCTTGTTCTCGCTGTGTAAAATGTTACCATAAGAAAGTGTTAATGTTGCTTGGCACAAAATTTAGATATTTAAATTAAGTGACCAAAGTATCAAACTCGTTTTCGGTAAAAATCCGGTCCCTTTATATTGAAGTAATATCATGTCACGTTATACGTTACAGTAAAGTTCAAATTTGTATGTATTCTCTTTCGGTTATTTTCAAGACATCCAGAAATTTGAAATTTTTGCCCTCTTAATCTGTTAACCTTCGTCTAAATATATGCTTGACTGAAGGCGTTTGTCCCACCCTCATGACGTAAACGACAGTCCATTCGATGGATGGAGCATTCCCAGTTGTTTGTTTTTCAAGATGATGAGGCAAAGTTCAAGCACTACTTTGGCACCCTACTCTGCTTAATTTGCTCGATTACATTCAACTCTTTACAAAACTGATCAGTTCAATGCATACAATACAATACCAGACTTGCCAGCGCGGATGCCGTCTTCGTCTTCAGAGACCACAGTAACTGAGTCAGATGTGAATGGTTCCAAACGGTAAGCTGGGAACCGGCCACAAAATTCTTGCACCTCAAGTCTCAAGGTCTGTTTTTCTACCCTGGCTCCAATTCTCCATTGCTGAATGGTCTTTACAATCTTATGAGATGGTGGCATATTGGTTAGCTACAGAAAGCACAAAAATAGTGTGAGAGAGAGCGAAAAAAGAAAAGATCTAAATTGCCTCACAAAACAAAGTCCAAATTTGGATTAGGTGCCAAAACAAAAATAAGCGTTCAAGGGATGGTGTGGACATGGTTCTCGTTTCTGCAATGCGGCTCCAACCGTCTTTGCTACACCATTTCAGTATGAAATAACCGATGAAAAGTTCAAGTTATGTTATGAAATAAAATAAATGTCCAGTGAATTCCTTTAGAAAATTACTTAAATCGAGCTATATGAAAGGGGCTGTGTCACGGCAGTCCAGTTCATTTTGTTTAAGTTTTCCAATTACTCGCCCTCAATCTGGTATGGAACTTAAAGTAATGCAGCAAGGAATTGAAATTACATGGAAATGACAAAATCAGAGATTCGAGACAAACAAATATGTCTCCTGAGCATTATTTTTGAAGTTGCAAACAGCAGAGATCAACTGTTAGGCTTAACAGTTTTCAGAAACCCTAATTTCAATCCGTTTCAATCTTCTTCAGTTTTGCCCATCCGTGGCATCTGTTATATCTGTTGTGTTATTTTAACCTTTCTTTATTGTTTTAAGCAGTTATGCATCAGTCAATTCCAGCTACGCCCAGCTCCCCCCCTCCGGGCTGACCCACGTGTATTAGCATGTTTTTTTTTTTTGCCTTGGATGGCAAATTCCCGGGTGTGGGGACTTTTGAACTGTCAAATCCCTTGGGGTGGGGACGAAAAAAGAGGGCAAATGCTCCGTCCCCCGTCAACACTGCAACATTTTTCATTGATCGCACAGTCGAGTAGTGCCATTTTAAAGATTTTTATGTGCGATTTTTTGTTTCAATTAACGTAATAGTGGTATTCTAATTAAGACTTCACACCGTGTCGACACCAGTTTATGGTTTTAGTATTGTTATGAAATCATTGACATTAAAATTAATAGTGCGCTGTAAAGTTAACTGTTATGGATATTTTTATAAATATGAAAGGATGTTCTTCAAATAGTATCAACAGAAATTTGATTCAATGACCTATCGATTCACATCGATAGCTCCCGATTTCGCTATGTAATTCTGGCTTGATAAACAATTAAGAAATGCATGCATACAATCGAGAACATGCCTTTACAATCCTCTTCAATTTTTTACTGTCCTTGACAGATGAGCCAATCTGCTTGTTTTTCCAGTTAAATCCTCTGTGTATTTATATTCTGATAGGAAACCGCGTGTGTGTCAAAAGTTCGGGGTTGGCCCTGGGGTTGGCAAATGCCCGGCCCCCGGGCAAAGCAAAATTAGCAAATGCCCCACCCCAGGACTAACAAGGCGGGCAAATGCCCCGCAGTAGCCCGGGGGGCGGGGGGCTGGGCGCAGCTGGAATTGACTGATGCATTATTTTCCTTTTCTCTTAATTTACCGGGCATTTTGTAATTCCCTACTTTGGCTGAATTTCGTGACACAGCTCCTTTAATTTTTAGATTAGGAGACAACTGATAACAATTAATGTTATGCGCAAAATTTCTACAGCCTCTCAATTTTCGAGCTACGTTTTAAAGATGAAACGATAGATTAGGTACAAGTTGTAAAATTCAACGCATCGATAAATTTTTAAAATCAATACAATTACAGGCTAAAACAAAAGACGCGATTCATTTTTAGCGAAAATTGGGGAGAAATATTCTTTTAATCGAGTGTTGAAAGGCGCGGGTATGTAACGAAAGGGTTTTGAGTTTAATGACAGGATTTAACAGAAGCTTACACTTTTGAAATTTGTAAACGTCCAAGGTAAAAAACTTTTTAAGTGATAAGCAACATTGAACGACGATGTTTATTTTTCTAAATATCAGTCATTTGCTCCATTAATATGATGATGTATGACGCCTATAGAAATACACTTTGTTCCTTTCGGCGAATCCGAAAATGGATTTTTGATCCGAGATTTACCGGATTTCACGGTCGAAAGGAACGTGAAATCCGAAATTGGATTTGCAACCTTGGTAACCTTTCGCAAACGCGTGCAATATGCATGGCAGTCTCTCCAGAAATGACGTGTTTTCTACTGTTTGACAAATTATGCGATTATACCGTGCAAAATTTTGTATTTGGCAGTTCGAACAGCGACGATTGAACAAACAGAACAAGAAAAAAGCGCGTTGAAGTTGAGATTTATCTAAAAGTTGCCGGCTCAGTTTGATCCAGTTTCGTAGCTCGGATTTTTTATGTAACACGATCGAGTGCCCATCTCTTTTACAAGCGAGTTTGTAGAAAGATAGCAGTTCACTTGTCCCTGCTTTTACTTATTTGTGTTTTTAAGCAATCTCAGTTAGCGACAAATGGTTACAACATGGATATTTTACTGCACCAGGAGCAATCTTCCAGATCAAAAATCCGTTTTTGGATTCCCCGAAAGGAACACACCCTTAAGAGTTGTCGCTTGTCTTTTGTCGACATTTTAGCCTGCCAGGCGAGAAATGATCGTTTCTTTTGCTGTTATCCATTCCTCGCTCTAAAAAGACTATGAAGCTTGGCGTATAAACAATAAACTACGTCAGTATCGCGAATTATTATTCCTTCAAAATAATTCTTCCTTTCTGATTGGCTTAAACCCCCAGGTTAATGCTTCTAAATCGGTCGGTGCTTTCTATATTTGGAAGATTGAGGCAATATAATATATAAAATAATCGCAACCTCGTTTCCAGGCAGCGGTCCGACAGCTTAGCTGTTTTGGCTTGAGTGACCTCAACAAAATGGTAGAAACGTTCACTGCTTATCCTAAGACGAAATACCCAAATAACTGGCTAAAACTAAACGGAACAAATGAAAAATAATGCAAAAAATATTGCTGGATGAATGATATCTACTCTTTGAGGGGTATCTTAAAGGAGAAAAACATCTGTCCAAATATGTTTTAAAGAAAGTGTCAAGGAGGCAATATTTAACAAATAAAGAAGCTTTGACTAGGCTTTGGTCTGTTGTAAGCACGGACAAAGCGGCTAGAGCATCAAATAGAGCACGAAAGAGGTGCGGGGAAAACACGAGACATAGTCGATTGTTTCTACCTACTCTTTGAGCGGTCTAGCCACTTCCTAAGTCATTCTGCAAAGAGCATCGAACAAACTTGTCGTCTAACATGAAAAGACGTCGCACTCGTCGATGAAAACTCCTCGATAACCTCCACGTTTCGTCGGTCATCCCGAATTACCGGCTTATTTACTCATGCTGCATGACAACATTTGACGACATACGTCTGGCCCCGGTTGTGCAAACGTTGGATAGCTCTATCCACCAGATAAATTAGTATCCAGCGGAAAAGTATTAGGGAAACCAATTGCGTTATGCACTGGATAGATTTTTATCCGGTGGATAGCGCTATCCAACGTTTGAACAACCAGGAACTGGTCTTCAGTCGCATAAAGGGTAGCCTGCAGTAGAGGCGTATTTTGGGTGGGCCAAACCTTGTTCATGTTTGTATTGTTGTAGCCACCATCTTTGACTTTATGACAGAGGAAGATTGGGGAGAGTAGAAATAGTAACCCCTGGGGTAGGTGCAAGGGCGAAAGAAGGAAAGGGGGAAGGAGGAGGGGAGAAAAAAAATACCCCGTTTTCTCTTCTCTCTCCCCGCCCCCTCCCCACTCCCTTTGACTCGCCTTATTTCCTCCTCTCCTCGGGAGTTTCAATATGGCGCTTTCGCGATCAAATTAAAACATTCGCGCGCCCAAAGAAAACGTCTGAACTGCAGGTTAGATAATTAAACGGCAGCTAAAACCACACAAAAGCTGCGTAATTACATTTAATTAGTTGACAACATGCCCTATTTTTAGTCGTTCCCATCTTTTTATTGGCCGAAAACCGGTCCAATAAATTTTCGCCGCATGGTGGTCTTCGGCAAAGGGGTAATGGTAAATGAAGTATCAGCCAATTCAAGAAATCGTTATTCCACCGATCCGCGTTAACCTGTCTTCCTGTCTAATTTACGCGCTTTATTATTAGATATTAACTGCATTTATTTTTTGTCCTAATTTTACCGTTTTAAACCCTCTTGATAAAATGTTTGGTCGTGGCAGGTCTTGTGGCAGCGGAGTTATGTGACAAACACCATCACTTTTCACTCGACTTACTGTAATATTCTGTTGGTTAAAAAAGACAAAAGAAAACAAAACGAAGTTACAAGAACGGCTGAATTTAACGTTTTTCTTTTCCTGAGAGTAAAAATAAATCATTTGCTAAGCAGAGAGTGCCCTGGCTCCAGAGGTCCGTTTTTCGAAATACCTAGGATGAAATAACTCGGGCGCACGGTTTGATAAAATATCGCGCCTCGCTGCCGCAAACTATCACAAATAAGGAAAGAAAAAAAGAAAAGACCATTATAATTAGCTTATAAAATTTACGGCACGAGTTACTACTTACTACGTCCTCCATTTTGTCCATTTTCTTGTGTGCAAAAGGGAAAACGTACAATTACATATTTCTAAGGCTTTAGGAAAAATCGTGGTAAAAGTGCATTAAAACTTATTTTCTCACCATTTTGAAGTCGTACAAGTTGTCACTCTCAGACAATTCATTGTGAGCTGGTACTTTGAAATATTCAATGTCGTTTTCCTCGTCGACTACAATGGTCTCATCAAATCTGGCCATTCCTTCTTTGATATGGAGCTTAAAACTTTCTGTAGTAACTTTTCGTTGCGTTTTAAAGATCTGTGTTCAGGATAAACAAATGGAAATTTATACCTACACAATCACACAAAGCTTAAGGAAATTATGTCATTATTTTAGCGGGATCACGAGTTTCCGTTTTGGGTCATTTTGTGCTTGATCCGTAAGCAGGAGTGAATAAGGCCAAGAGCCATTATGGCTCTTGATAAGGTCCTGTCCACACGTATCCGCAACTTTTTCTTTACGGGTACGGCTTCCGTCCACAAATATCCGATGAAAACGATCATTGAGAACGGAACTTTTCGAAAACGCTCTCCAAAGTGGAACTTTTTGAAAACGCTGTTTGCGCGTGTTCGTGTGGACAGACGAAAACGTAACTTTTTGAAAACGCTGAGGACACAGAATCTTTTCCAATCCACTCCGCGCAATATTAGAAACTTATTCAAGATGGCGGACAGACGCTTCCCTTTCTTGTCTTTCATACTTGAGCTTATTTCTAACCTAATTGCTTGTTTTCAAGCAAATTAGCTTTGTTAATTCTTCAAGTTGATTATTCCAGGAGCCGGCAGAACACTATCGGGTTACTTTCGCTACCGGTGTCTAGAGGCGGAAGGTTGGATCTCCCTTTAATTTGACTTTGTTTTCGCCCTGATTTTGACATTTCAAACTGTTCCTTCGACTTTGAAGAACGTCACAACAATATAAACCCTTCACCAAAGAAATTTAAAGGTGGCGCCAATTTATTATTTCGCAGGCTCATAATAGCGAATACGTATACGTCAAGCATGCGCAGTCGGGTAAGTTATCGTTTTCAAAATCGATTCATCGTAAACGTGTGGACGGGTGAAAACGCTACGAGTTGACGCGAATTTTTTTGAAAGCGGGGAAAAAAAGTTCCGTTTTGAAACGAATACGGAGACGTGTGGACAGGGCCAAAGTTTGCCATTGAAAAGCCGTTTCCATGGGCCATCACGGGAAGGGAAGTCTGGGGAGGGTATGCAACACGACGACACATAAAAACGTCTGTGTTGGAGAATTCATTTAGACTTCTGGTAAAATTCATCTTCAAAAATTAGGGGTGGTCAACAGGGGTAGTCCATGGACGAAGGGGTCTAGGGACTAGGTCCACAGGGATGGTACGTAGACTGGGGGTTGCTTCAGGTTACTCAAAGTACCAAGGTCTGCCATGCTTAAAACACTTACAAACACCGAAATGGCAAAGTTCACGATACCGTAGTCGCAAAGGTTCATGTCGCGACATTTATTTCAGTTGGCGACGCATACAAAAGAAATGGATAAAAAACAGAATCATTGGATGTGAGGCGCTCAAACAACATACAAAAATCATACACGGTATGTGGTCTTTTTTTTGTACATCCTTATGGCAAAACAATAAATTGAACTGAACTGGACTCTCATTCCCAATATTGTTTATCGCAGTTATAACTCAACGAAAATTGTACATCAACATTGCGAGGTCAAGAAGATGAAGTGTCCCAACAATTTCGACTGAGACTGTAGGTCCAATGTATTTGGTTGTATCATTTTTCTTTTTCGGTCACGAGCAATTCGAAATGACCTTGATAAAAATTTACCAAAAACGTCAGCCGCTGTCTCTCAGGACCTTTGATTTACCTGAGTGCAATCTAGACTGCAAAACAGTCCGTATTTTTGCGTACACTCTTTTTTTTTTATAAGAATATATTTTATAAGAATATCGAGGCTGAAATTTGCGAAATTTTAAGAATATTTTAAGAATAAAGCCGAGGCTGAGATTTTGAAAAGGATAGATATAATTTTGTGTGTTGAAGCATCTGTAGAAACACCATGCACACATTTCTCATGTACAGACAACCTTTGCTGGTTAACAAAGAGTTTACTGCAGTGATTACACTTAATTGTCCTTGACATAGTTGAAACAAAATCGGGTACTTTCGTTTCCATCATGCTATTTCTGTGCGAAATGCTTTTTTTAAACCCAAAACGGCCAAGTGTCGTTTGACGTGACATCTGCAACGAAAAGCGATGGAGCACGTGCACAATGTAACGCGATACAGATCTAGATACCAAACACTTGTGATTGATACCCCAATAAATTCTAAAACGGAAATGTCATAAGCTATAATTTAAGAATAATACAAGAGTATTTTCAGCCTAAAATCGGCAGAAAAATAAGAATATTCAGCCTGGGCCGGAAAACCAACATTCTTATAAAAAAAGAAGGGTGTATTCAAGTACGCGCGAACAGTCAAACAAAAGGCCTGGAGTGAGCCTGAAAACGGAGAGCGAGACTGGGAAGAGACGCTAAAAATACGGACTGTCCGTTTGGCAATATTCTTTAGGGGTTCGTCACGCGTTCCTGCCCCACTGACGTCTGCTGAACCGACAGATAAATTCTTTCCCATTGTTCGCAAATATCAGCTGGAGATCACATGCAGATTGTCGGAGATCCATTCGGCGCTTTTGAATTCAAAGTGTTGACAAGCCAAACACATACGTACAAGCTCGGTAGAGTGTGATACGTGACCCAGACGACGATCGAATAGTATCCCATGATACATTTTTCCAGAAGCATCACGCAATATCGCAGTCATGGCAGATTCCATCGTGAAATAAGAGTCGTCGGCTTTTTTCTCATTTGTGTTCCAATAAAAGTAACAAAATTGCATTATTTTGTTATATGTCACGATTTCTCCGATTTGCAATCGCTTAAGAGCGACGTTCAGCCATATAGGTGGTTTTCATGCAATCTCGGGAGACACAAATAACAATGGTGAAATGAACAAATGCTGGTGTACAAACAAAGCGAGCCAATGAGCGATCTTTTGTTTACCGTCCACCAGCATGGCGGCGATGACGTAACGTGAAAACCACCTATAGAAACATTTTATTTTCAACGTTTCACTTAGTCTTCGCAACACATAGTGTTCAGTGACCCACAATAAGATCATGAATATTCAAGATATTTTGGAATATATGCTGAAGACTTCCAAATGTGGACCTCAAGACAGCAAAATGAAGTCCTGAATATTGTACAGGCTAAGAAGTACCCCAGAAGTACCCACATTTTGAAGACTTTTTTATCGACCAAAGACGGCTGAAATTTCTCATCTTTCATCACATTTCAACGCCATGTGCGATAATATATGTGTAAAGCCTGCTGAAGGCTAACAATCTTTTGGGCACTTTCGAGAGCGCCTTATGCCCAAGCTATAATATTAATCACTTTGTATTTTATATTTGTATATTAGAATTAATTTTTTTTTGAAAGTGGTTATTTTTAAAAGGAATTTGACTACAACTAGTAATATTTGACACTACAGCTGCCCCCTTTCTGTATATTGTCAGTTAATAGTATTCTTGCTCGTTAATTGTGTTGCTCTTTGAAATATACCAATTCATAGTGAATTAAGATTTTCACTCATATTCCATACAATAGGTGAGATAAATACAGGAAACGCAAGGTTCCATGCACAGTTTCAGTTCGATTTACACAGCTTTGATCAAAACATTCTCAGTTTCGAGAATAGTTTATTCTAAACCATAAGAAAAGATTTAATTAGAAGTTGAATTTTTCGCTATTTCTCTTTCACTTTTTACATTCAGTTCATTTTATTTGCCGGAAAGTAAGCCTTAGAAATTAAAAGGACGTTTGATCAATTCACGCTCGCGCATTCTAGTCTTATTTTAAACTTTATAGCGGAAGGACATCTGTGAGCAGGGAATAAGTCACGACACAATTTGATTGTCGGCGAATGTCTGTAACCGTTCATCGTTCTTCTAGTGATAAGCTAGCCGTTGCTCACTCGTCTTGCGTGTTTGGGGCTGAGTCTTATTCCAGTCAAAGAGAGAGAAAGAGTGTCTGGCAAGGTTTCCAATAAACGATTCGTGAACTCGTTTCTGGCAAACTCTCCAAGTGTTTATATATAAACAGTACGCACCTTATAACTTCATCTGCGCTTAACGAGTGTCTTTTAATTTGGCCCATAACTTTCAAAACAACTGCTCCACAGAATGTCACTGATAACACGTAACGCAAATGAATATCGAAGTATGACTGCATAATAAACTGTCACAAAATCTACCTGAGGGGTCCCTTCGGGATTTTCTGTATTTACGTCATCCTAACCATTTCGTACTTTACGTACCGATTCCTCGCGGCCCCTGTTTATGAGATTTTCTAAATGTCTCAAAATCTTCTAAATATCTTAAAAATATCCGGATATTTGTATGTCTGGGCCTATTTTGCAGTCTAAGTGCAATCTGTTCAAGTCTGTTTAATCATTTTCAGTTCTGTACGTTTTTGTCTCTCTCTGAATTTTCTTCACTGTTCAGTTGCCAAACCAATTACTTTCAATTGATATATTTTTTTGACCTGGCCCATAAAAGAATTTAAAAAGTAACACACAAAAGCAAACGAAATACGGCGACTATCGTGACTGATCGGCTTACGGTAGTCATGATCATCGAACAAATTGAAGCACTACTGATGACAAAAGTCATAGCCTGCTGACGAGACGAAAATTTGAAGCCTTTCTTATAGCATTCTCGAGCTTAAAACAAAGAATTCCGGTTGGATTGTTGATATATGCTAAGAAGTTGTAAACTATATTACAGTACTAAATACCTTTTGAACCGTTGCTGCCCTCATCTCACAAAGACAAGTAAACAAGATCAAGGCTCCAACAATAGAATAAGATCCCTGAGGATGAGGAGATGAAGGAGAAATGGCATTAAAACTAAAAAGTAAACCATTATCAAGAGAGAATTATTCTCTCAGTCTGCGCATGCAATTACTGAAAAATCGTTATAGGTTTTTTTTTCCTTCTAAATTTACCTGGAACGAAATTGAAAGAATAAGAAATCATTTTACCCATGTCTCAGTAATTTGAAATCAGTGTGTTTAACTCACCGTCTTCATCTTTACTCACACTCTGGTGTTAGGGGTATTTACTGCGTTCTAGACGTTTTCCAAACTCTACCAGGAACGTGTGGCTTTCTTTGGAGCACGTCATCCTTTTATGCTGAATTCTCACGAGAAAGTATAGCAAATGAGGAAGTTTTTTAAGATCCAAAATTGATGCTTCAGCTCCTAACGTGTCCTGGAAGCTAAAGCGATATCAAAGGGTGCACAATTTACTTCACGGAGTAATGAACCTCTTCTGACGGGTGGAGGGAGGGGATTTCACAGGATGGTAGAGGGGCTGGAGTATTACCCTTCAGTTTATCACAATTGCTGGGGTTTCTGATTAGCGTAGAACGGTGTGCCTGTATGCCCGGCAGCCAGGAAGGGTCTTAAAAAAAACTATCAATCAATCAATCAATCAATCAATCAATCAATTTATTTGCCCTTTTTTTACATACAATAATTACACAGTCTTATAATTAAAATATACTTGGGCAGGAGCTCTCAGCAAACCCTGTAGGGCTTTTCGAGGAGAGCCCTTGGACAAGTTTTATTCAAGAATGATTTTAATTTAAATTTACATGTCTTTGTCATAGATTACATAGATAAAGTATGTAGCGGTTACTCACATTTTTTAATATATGTTTGATTAAGAATCGCAGATTTAGAATTACTAAGCGATCGCGATCAGGAAATCAAGAATGGCTTCGCAGATGAGCGGTTGTGGTTTCTTGTGCATAGAGTCGACACTGTTTCAACACTTAGAACAATCTCGTGAGGAGCAGTGCGTGACTCACGGGCACGTTTTCATCCAAGCTATTTTTGTACCCGCTTGGCTACTCTGAAGGTCGATAAGATACTTTTAGAAGCCCTAGCCCATATAGAATTTTGTGTTCACCTAGCCTTCTTTATCATTTACTTAACTCGACGGTTGACTTTAAACAAGTATCTTAGTGCCCTAAAGACGGAACATGTGACGGATATGAAAACACTTTAGATGCCATTGCCACAAATCGTCCGCGGGTCTCGGAGGTTCAAAAGACTAAAGGAAAAGTTGTTAATAAACACACCTGACTATGTGTATGAAATAACAAGGGGTTACTGTCAATGTAACCAGTCTGTGTTTAATCATAATTCAATCATAGACTGCAGCAAAAAGAATTTCTTTTTAGCTGTTTCTTTATCCCGACACTGCTGATACCAATTATTCAGCTTATAACTTCTGTAGGGTGGGGACAGGATATTTGTCGCTGGCGAGTGAAAACGTGATTTCACGAAGTTTAGAGGCCTCTTCATGTTTCAGTCACTGAAAGTACGCCATAAGCCATATGGCATACTTTCCTTTAATCCAACAATAACAGGGATTACAGTCAGTGGTAATTAGCATTTTTGACGTAATAAGCGAAAACACGAACTCCTTTGGACATAATTTAATGCGATTTAAGGTACCCTTAAGTTGTGAGCGCATCGACTGAGCAAATTGGGTCACTCTCGCATTACTTGCTCTCTGAATAGAAGCCCAAGAAGGAAGACAACTCGCCGATGCCCATAATATATTGTTGTTCAACTAAAAGAAGCGAAATCTTTCGCTTCCAACAATCACAGGGCGAAATAAAATATACAGTGAATTAGATTAGATTAGATTAGTTTAAAATTCATTAGTAGGACATCTTAAGTTGTGAGGAGAGGTGAAAACCGTAGTATGTTTACTCCGGTACGTACACGGAGAAAAATGACCCTTGGAGCAAGGGCGAGAGCCAACATCAAAGTCAACCCATATACATATATACGGCGACGACGCGGGGATTTTCAGGATTTTTGACAATGGGCCACAATATTTAGAGGCCAGTGATCACCTAACTGGACTGACGGAAGCGAATCATATTACTTCCTTGCTCGAAATATATGTTATATAACTTCTTCTTCGTTTTCGCCACGAGACAAAAGGTGCAAGACATCTTGCTTGCACACCCACAATTAAATTTTACAAGTGAAAATTTTTCTGATTCCTCTCTCCATCACAGTTTTGAATCCGAAGATGTTAGGGGTCCTTTTTACTACGAAAAATAGCCTAACCTGGGGAGCATAGCTAACATAGCTAACATGGGGAAAATAGTCGTTGGGTGCCCCTGATATGGGCACACTGAAAATGAGCGTAGCTTTTGAAAATGGCCTCCCGGACAAGTCTGATACGAGTATTGCTAAATTAAGCATACAAAACTACTTTGACCCTCGGGCCAGATGACCTAAGGGGCTTTAGTAAGTCGGTGCACATACTCACAAGTCAGAAAGTTAGGGCTCTTTGAAATGTTCTGAAGAATTAAGGAAGAAAAACACGAACGTGATCAAACTAACGCTCGTTTAAGCGCTGAATCCCAAAACAAGCTAATTGAGGAGGTTTTGAGTAAGTATTAACCTTCCGTGTACGTGATCATTTGAGCTTTGCTGCAGGACCTGGTTGAGGCGATAAAAGGAAGTGGGATCACTAAATAAACGATGCAAGATGTTTCCCTTTTTTCAGTTAAAAATTCTTTGTTTCTATTTTTAAATTTTAGCCTGCTGGTCTGTTTCAAATGCTGGCCTTTTTTTTTGACAACGAGCGCTGGGATATAAAAGCGACGTTATCAAAAGATGTTGATCCTTGATTGTCATTTGGTCGTTATTTTGCGTTACGTTATGTCAGATGGGGTTCCTTAAAATGTCGTTATCTGAAGAGTACTTGGTTTCCTCTGTCATGAAATCGGGTGATGACCCTGTTAAGTTCTTACGGGAAGTTAAAAATATATAATTTCGGAGAAGTCCAAAAATACTACCTTACTGGTACTTAATTATCCGTTTTTCTCGAAAGACCCGCGAGGGAAAATCCTTGCGAAATTATAAACACGCAAAAAGCTCAGGCATCCCAAACTCTTTAAAAAAAAATCACCCGAAAAACGAGTCTTTGAGACCGATGGAAAACGCTTCTGATATTTCGAGATCGAGACAAAACTTTTCCAATACCCACAGTTTTTCGAGGAACCATCAGTGCACCCCTTCTTCCGGCTTGAGTTGTTATTAGGTAAAGAAGAAGAGGATAAAGAAAAAGGAAAACAGGTTTTTCTAATGTGTTTATTCAGGAGCCGGCTCCTGGTTTATTTAAGTCTCTTCTTCCCTATCAAGGAAGGCCCAGTACTCTGAGGCTTACGGTACCATTGTGGAACCCAAAATATTTAATCAACTTTATTAGCACAATTGGTATTCGAGCCACGTTCACGGCGTCTGTCTACGTGCTGCCTCTCCAACCAAACAAACAGAACATTTTTACTAAGTTCCGTCCAGCAGGGGTGGGGTGTGTGTGTGTGTGTATGTGTATATGTGTGTGTGTGTGTGTGGTTGAACTTGGTAGTTTTCTTGGCCATCATGACGTCATGAAGTGAGAAGTGCGCAACTTCGAGGAGTTTTCGAAAATGGCCCTGTTGCCATTTTCAAATGCTACTTTTGAAGTTGGTTTTCTTGGATATTGACGCTTCAAAATGGTTTTGTCATTTTGTCAGAGTACTCAAGGGGTTTAAGAGCCAGTTTCTCTAAATATCGAAAATCCGGCGACAGTTTCAAAATTTTCCGTTCCTTCATATTTTGCCCAAATAAAGCCTTTAGTGAGTTATTTTCGAAAATACACTTAAAAGATCCCAAAGCGCTCGAGTTTTTTCAAATCGAGGAAAGTTTGAAAATCGCCATTTTGGCCTCCCGCCGCCATTGAAAATTGACCAAAATGAAGCATTTTCGTCTCGCTCGTGCTGGTAAACGCGATAACATCTAGCGATGTACTTCTGACATTTCGTAGCACTTCACTTGCTCTTTCTAAAACACTTGATCACTTTTGAAAAGCTGTCAAAATAGTCTTGTTTCTGGCCGTTTTAGTTACCCCAATTGAAGCGCGTGAGCGAATAGGTTAATTTTCGCTTACTTCTACTCCAAGAAAAGCCCACTGGTACATAGAATTTGAGGCCAAAACTAGTATGATCTTAAAGCACATCCTTTATACTTTGTTGTGTGAAAATTTTTTTCCGCGGCCCGCAAAAAGTGTCCCGTAGAGAAACGGAAACGTGAAGACCATTTTGCCACCTAAATCAATGTACGGAGCAACATGTTTCCCTACATACCTACGCAAACAATGTAAAAACTGCTCTGGAAACCTTCCACATGTTTCTTACCGCTTGAATATCGGAAAATAGACACATACGTAACTGTTACCTTTTGATTTTTAACTCATTGTACTGAATAAGTGCTAAAAACGCTTTCATTGCAGACTCGTGTATGTCAACACCGAGTTAATGGCCGTTAACAAAACCAGGATCGGATTGCTTGGATCGCATCGGATTGTGGATCGGATCGGACTCCGGATCGGATCGGATCGGATTACGGATCGGATCGGACTGACAATTCGCCTTAAATTCCCGCCAGAATGGTCACGTGGCATCCCCCGGAATGAAGATGGCGGAGAGAAAAGTATGTATACAATCTTCTGTAACTAATTTAGTGTTTCTTTTCTTTTTTTTATTGTACAGTGATCTCGTTATTTTCTGAGCCTACTTGAACGGTTTCCTTTTCAGAGGAGGCAATTGAAACGTCAATATGAAGAGGAAAGGTACGATATTAAAATTCTTTATTACAAATACTGTGAAACAGCTGTGTGAAACGAGATTCTTCGATTGTTCGCTTCTGTGTTTTCTGCGATATACCCGGCCCTGTAGGTGTTACTTGTGCATCAGCAGAAATTAGCATGTGCATTTAAACACGTTTCCTTTCAAGGTTATTTGCCGCACAAACGCACATAAATTCTACGATCTACACAGCCCGGCCCACTACAAATACTAGCTACCGGTCCTTCAAGAACTGCTGTTGGCATGCATCTTCTTGTCACTGATTTGTATTACAGACAGACACGGATTACATGTTTAGAAATAAACTCATCTGAAAGCTGAAACCTCCATTTCGTGACCGAATAGAAGTTTACTAGATGAAAATGTCCGATAGTTACATGACCGGAATACTGACTAATGAGATTCATTTTTTGCGTTCCAAAATGGCTACCTGTGTTATCTGCTGAAATCTGGTCCCCCTGGCTAAGAATTAGATACCCCTAGTAACCTTGTTGCTGTAGCTTTCAATTTCATTCTAGTACAGTTTGTTTTAAGGGGGCAAAAAGTGAAGTGGGTGCCTTATACCCAAAGTATTGCAGTGATGTTATGCGAGTTAAAGTAAAATGGAAATGGCTTTAAAGACTTAGTTTAATGTTATAAAACAGTGTAAAAATTGCTCCTCCCTAGTCGACATACTTGGAAGGGTATACTGTATTGCTGTGAAATTTGGAGGACTTACTTTATTTTGGAGGGGGTGCTTATTATCAGAATTGTACAGTATTTTTATTCCTTTCAAGACATATTTTATTATGGTCATTCAATTGCAGAATTTTCGGAATTTAACAGAATGAAAACATGAATGCATTGAAAACATTATTTAACAGTATATGTTGGGTTGACGTTTTGCAGTTTCTATAGGCCAACTTAGGTTGATAAATCTTTTTTTATCTATTAAGTTACAAAGCATGAAAATGACTTTGTACTCTCTCTTTGTAGTGATAAAGGATTTGAGTATGAAGAAATGTATCAGAGCAAGGAGGTAGGGACAAACATTGTTAACAACTTTTAAGGATCAGTAATTTGTTATCATAACAACACCGTGGGTAGAGCCACTACTTATGGAATATGGTCAGTCTTTCTTTATTTGGTTGTGACGTGATTGACTGTACAAGGGTACATACATCTGCGTATGAACATGATCCCCTACCCTTGTACAGAGCAGCGGGAGAGTGGGGGACCATGAATAGGGAGGCAGTCCCAAGTGTTGCTCATCTTTGTGAGTAAGTGAGTTATGTATTTTTGATGGTCTTCTATCAGGGGTGGGGGTGAACTAGCCAGTCCATTGGTCCAGATGATAATGGCTATTATTATGTCATTAAGAGAAAAGTGTGCAGCTCCTTGAATGGTCAACTGTTAACTGACAACTGTCAATGTAAGAAGTCAGCTGATCAGCATAACATTAAAAATTGTGGGCTCAGTTGTGCAGCCTGCATGTATGCTTGCAAACGTTTCGATGCTTGACATTCATTTGATAGTCAATTGACAGATGTCAAAGAAAGAAATCCACTGACCAGGAGAACATTAAGTATTGCAATCTCACGTGTGAAACACATCAAGGACAAATGTCTTTTTTGGAAAGTTGACAGCTGACCAGTTAAAAGTTCTCCTTTAAATCGCGGTCTCAAGTTTTATTTCTTAAGGCGAGGAATGTACTGACTAGGAGCGCATTATATATCGCAGGCTGACATATTGTTTTGCTCAAGTATTTAATTCTTTTTGAGCGGCAGCTGAAAAAGGAATCCTTTAGCCATTATCACGTTGCGTATTGTGGGTTCAGATTACTATCCCATCACTCGCGTTTTGGCAAAGTTCTTGCAATCGCTGGCCCAAAATTAATTTAATTGTTGAGGTATTCAGATAGAGATTTTCAAAAAGCAAAAGCATGCAATTGCAATTGGCCAAAACGGAAAATACCTTAATATTCTTTAAATTTCCGTTTGGGTGGCACTTCATGTAAGCCCGACTTTTGCCATATCTTTTGTTCTCTGCTCAATTTGCACGTGCACCTCGTTAATTTGCATACACTGCACGTGCAGTTCGTGCAAAAGGCAAAGTATTGCAAAAGCAAGGTTTATGTGAAGAGCCACCCAAACGTTAAAAGAATATAATTTAAAGAATATTATTGTCTTTCCAGTGCATTGCTTTGAGGGGGTAAACACCTGAGCCTGGCTAAATTTGTATCGTAATCAAAATGTAATTCTCTTTGCAAAGTTTTCATTACTATTCGTTCAAAGATATGTTCCATTGCAATTATAATAACAACGATAAAAAAAATTCATATCCCCTTTTGCTTTGAAGGTGTAAAGTTGTAGGCAAGTAACGCAAAAGAGCTTTCAACGATAAACAGAAAAGACTTTTTTTAGCCACGACGTAATGGCTTTTCTGTTTCTCATTTGTAAACTGAGCTGGTTTTCTTTTCAAGGTCGTCGATCTGGCTCTGTTAGACAGTAGTCCGGAGAAGAAACCTGCACCTGCTGGTGGGAAAAGGAGACGCTATGAATCCGACACGTCAAGTGACGACCCTGGTGTAAGTCCTTTAAAGGGAAGTGGAGAGTTTTACAACGGAAAGAAATGCATCCCAAACAAGAAACAAGACAATGTTTACAACGGAAGGCATGGTGAAGATGTTGTTAAACGCAACAAACGATATTGTAAAGTGCACCGAGCCTCCTAAGCACGTGCAGATGAACGCCGTGTTTCTAATTGATTTACGATATATTCCCCTTGACGATATACGAGCCCACGGATTGCCAAAGTATGATAACTATGATGGTAAACGGACTATACCAGTTGAAGTAGAGAATGACGAAAATGGTGAACTAAAAGTGGTTGTTACCGGCTGTGAGCGAGAGAAACCAGTACCCGCGAGGCGTTATTATCTTGAACGTTTATATCACAGCTGGAATGTTAAGAAGAAAAACAAGTACCACAGGCGCATCATGCATGTGAGAGACGAACGCGGCGAAGTTGTCGACAATGTTGCATGTGTCCAATATGTCTACGACAAAGAAGAAGTCAAATTTGCAATGAAGCCACATAAGAGTTCCAAAAATGGTAAAGGCGTACCTTACACACGAACAAAGCCATCAGTGGTGCGAAACCTGGATAACAAGCTGGCGTCACTGGGCCCAAAAGACGCAGTCTCAATGACAACACAAGAATCGGGTGGTGTGTTGAAGGCTGAATGTTTAAGCGACCTACCACGTGGACCAAGACAAGGGTATTACCGTAACCAACTTCAGAAAGAAACGTTACCTTCCCACGTCAGAGGGGGGCAGAAGCAGGATGAACTGCTTGAAGTTCTTTTGACAATGAAAACTGACAAGGAGCCTTTTGTTCGAAAAGTTACCATTGAGAAGGAGAACACAACAATCGTTATCGCCTCAGAGGAACAGCTGAACAACTTGTTGAAGTTCAGCACGTCGGAAATTGACTTTTGTACTGTGCAGATTGATCCCACTTTCCGCCTTGGGCCGTACGAATGTACCCCCATATCATATCGTAATCTAATGATGAAGCGAAAGCCCACTGGAAAGAGTCCTCTGAGATTAGGTCCTGTACTTATTCACTACCGCAAGGACCAAAATACGTACAGTGGTTTTCTTCAAAATCTCATTGATTTGAAGCCAGCACTGCAAGGAATGTTATCAACAGGGACTGATGGTGAACAAGCTCTGGTAAACGCCATAGACGCAAAGCTCCCCAATGCGCACAGTCGCAGTCTGCGTTGTTTTCGCCACTTGCAAGATAACTTTAAGCAAGCATTGACGTCTTATGGGATGGTCGGGATGCAGAGACGGTTCATTTACGAAGTATTTGGCAAAGTTGACAGTAACGGTATTTACCACCTTGGGCTCCTGGACGCCGCGTCACCGGAAGAATTTGACGTCAAGTTGGAGTCTCTTAGGGATGGGTGGAAAGAAAGAGGCGATCCTACCGAGAAGGTCTTCAAGTGGCTGATAAGCAGGGCCGAAATGATGAAGACAAGGATGATTGCAAGTGTACGCAGGGCAGACAGACTACCTCCAATGACAAAGGATAGTGATATCCCCTCCCATTTTCTTACTAATGACGCCGAGGCAAATAACAGCCGGATCAAATCAGTGAAGAAACATACCCAGTTGGGTTTCTGTGGCACAATCGCGGCAGTTCGAAATCTTGTGAAAACTGAGAATGAGGAATTTTCTCAAGCAGTGGCTGGTGTGTCGCAGGGTTACGAACTTCGCGAAGAGTTCCAGAAGTTTGTAGCACCAGATTTCCTCTCGAGGTCGCAAGAAGAACGAAGCAGTTACATCGGCAAGCTTAGTTTGGCTACCATGGAAGATCTCCATGCTGCAGACGGGCCTGAATCATTTGGGTGGGCTACCGGTACTGGATGTGAAAAGTCCAAGCTGACTTCAAGAGATGTGATTGGATGTACCACAGAAATTCTCAGCAGAGATGTCGACGGTTTCGATTTCCTGTATGAAGATCCCCGATTGGAAAAAATTTTAAGTACCGCTCGTGAAGCAATGGTCAAGGAAGCAAGGCTGCTTTTAGACAATAAAGGTGTCTGGCGAGGACCACCGACGTCAGATGGAAAGGCAACATTTTCAGTTTCAAGCCTCTCCCAAGAACGACCAAACTATGTGGTGATTGACAAGAAAAGTGGCAGTGTGGAGTGTGAGTGCACAAACTGGAAGTCTCTGAAAATGTGTTCACACGCTTTAGCAGTTGCAGAACGAGAGGACACTTTACACGAGTATTTAGATTTTTATGCCAAGCAGCCAATGTCCAAAAGGAGGAACCTGACAAAGGTGAGCAACCTGAACGTGAATGTTGGGCCCCTGGGAAAAAAAAGGAAGACGCGTACGTAACCGCTCAAAGACAACAACATCGGCTACAGTTACAGTCCCGGCGAGCAGTGAAGAGTCCTCTCCTCTATCTCATGGTAAATACAATTTGAGGTGGCTTTTCGAGAGCAGGGCATATCAGTGCTATGGGTGCAACTCTGCAATCCGTGTGCCTGGTCACGTCCCACTACCCCCAGACGACGTGGTAGCTGCAACGAAAGAGTACAGATCATTTATGAAAGCAGGAAAACTTCAAGTCCGCTATGAACCAACTCATTACCACCTAAGACAAGATTGTATAAAAGAGAAGAATGTGAACTTCAATCCGGTCACGGATTTGGTGCTTTCACCTAAAGACTATGCCCGTTTTTTGCCTGCACATGAAATGCTGTTGCAGGAAGAGTTTGGTATTAGCTTTAATAAGTAGCTTAAATTTTCCATTAACTGCAAGTCATTTTTTGGGGGTGACATTTTTTTTTATTTATTTTTTTTGGCAAGGAGAGAAGACTGTTTAACTTTTTTTACATCTAGTTGCAAATGAAACCTCCTATTTTAAACATTCTAAAGTGATAGCCATTTCAATGTCAAAACAGGATAAAACGGTCTGAAAAACTTAAAAAGTGACGTGTTCACGGTGCGGTGTAAAATTCTTATAAGAGCTGGGTCAGGTCTCAAACTGGACCACAGAAAGACTGCTGCAATCTGATTATTTTCCAGATCATACATTACATTATTCAAGATGTATATGGATGACAGCTGTCTTATTTGAAGTGAAATTATTTTAAAATGTTCTAGTTTGTAATCCAGCCAATGGATTTCGGTTTTCTGCGTTCATATTATTGTTGACTGTTCCCTGGTATCAAAAAACAGTTGAAGTTATTCTTTTGTAAGGTATTACTTTGAAGTTATTTAACATCAGGAAGAAACATGTAACGGTCTGTTGGCCCCGGGGCCAAAGGTGACCTTCACGTGAGAAGCCTGATCGTATTACCCGGCCAATGGCTGCTGCTAGATCAAACAAAATATTAAATCAAATTTACTCCAGCGGAGCGTTTGAAAGAAACAGCAGACGGCCTTTTAATTAAAATGTAACGTGAACTTGAACTTAGTTCACTTTAGTTCGTCTGATGTGAATTTCTACACGGAAATATCATAAATGAGTTTATGGAAAAACTGTCATTATATAATTAGTTCATATTTAAAACAACTGATTCTGTACTGAGTATTTAAGTTTACTAACTGAATATATGCACTTTAATCTTTCGGCGTTGCCACCTTCATATCTTTACTGAAACTGTGAATCTCTTGACTCAATTAGTTTATGTTATAGTTTAACATGTTAATGTTACATTAGAAGTCAAAGTTACATTGAAAGTGATTGCTTGTTGGTTGTTGTACGACTGCGAGGGACTCGGCTAAAGCAGACATAGGTGTGACAAGACTTCTTGTTAATGAAAATAATGGAGGTGACATTTAAGATGTCATTCGCTTATTGACAACAAGTCGTCGCTATCGTACCTTGCTCATTACCGCGATTTTCTTAATCGTCTCCTCTGAAAAGAAGCATTCAATCCAAGCTCAGTGAGAAACAAGACCAATTCAGAAGAGAGTGGAGATGGAAAGAAACACAAAATCATTGCAATGAGAGATACGTACATCTCTGTCCGCCATCTTCGATTCGGGAGACGTCACGTGACCAAGCCTCTTTTTGGAATTGTAATCGTATGAAGTTATGCAACAGAAAATTTCCCAGTGCAGTTCAGTTGAAAATAATTCTTTGCGATGATTTTAAAGCTAAAGGTGAATTTTAAGCCTGGTGATACATGAGAAACTATTTTTTTGGTATTAGTGACGCAGGCGGCTCGGAAGAAAAAATCCGAGTCGAACCGGTTAGACTCACGTTGTGAGAACTCGGCTTTCTTATTCCGAGCCACCTGTGTCATTGTTAAAGCAGCTTTTGTCAAAATAATTCTTCTGCACCAAAAGCGAAGACATTAGTCCGACCCGTAATCCGATCCGATCCGATCCGGAGTCCGATCCGATCCTATCCGATCCAAGCAATCCGATCCTGGTTTTGTTAACGGCCCGAGCTAATAATATACAAGCAAACCTATCAAAACAACCATTTCAGCTTCGGTTTCCACAACACGTATTGCATTTTTGAAAGCCTATATAATATATAAAGCCTATATAAATTTTAATACTACAAGTTTATTAGTTTGTAATAACCTGTTTGATCGACCTTCTTCCAAAACAAAGAAATTGTGAGTGGCTTTATAGTTTTCAGCTTTGCCATCAGAGACAGTTTGTAACATACATTGCGTGACAAATTCAGTCACCCCTTTAAAAGCAAAAACTTAGTCGGAAAACCTATAAAATGACTTAAAACCGCTCATCGAAGAACAGATGATATTTTTGAAAATTTAGGCTGTTATCTGACTAACGGGAAGCGTAATTTGTAAGCTAGTGAAAAGTAAGAGAGACAAGAGACAAGCGTTGCGGGGGTCTTACGAAAACTAAGACCCTCGAAAACTAAGACCTAAGACCTAAGACCTGTCTTTGTTTTGGAGATTACGAAAACTAAGACCCCCTAAAATCGAATCCGTCAAAATATAAAGTCAAATTGTAACCGAAATAGGTCTGATCGGTCAAATTATATCATGTTCGATCCTTTCCACCGAGTTTTAGGTCAAATTTAACGGTAAATTTAGGGGTCTTAGTTTTCGTAATTACGAAAACTAAGACCCCCTAAAATCGAATCCGTCAAAATATAAAGTCAAATTGTAACCGAAATAGGTCTGATCGGTCAAATTATATCATGTTCGATCCTTTCCACCGAGTTTTAGGTCAAATTTAACGGTAAATTTAGGGGTCTTAGTTTTCGTAATTACGAAAACTAAGACCCCCACCAAAACAATCTATAAAATTTCAACAAAGTCGAATTACGACCGTTTGAAGACTATAATCCGTAAGACAAACAAAAACTACTATCATACGCGTGCTGATATACGATCCGCTAATAATTTGAAGACTCGCTTTAAAAAGAGGACCAAAGCCATAGACTTCCTACGTGTCTATTGTACACTGAAAATATGCCTTACCCCTATTGGTCTTTAATTTTGTTGTTTATCCTTTAAATCATGAAATTGGCTTTCCACTGGAGATGGATGTTTTTCTTCGTGTCTGTGCGATCGAGATTGCGTTACCTGTAACTATCACCTGAGGGGGTTTGTGTCCAGCGGTTGTCGTGGACAAGCGGGCAGCGCAGGGAGGGGAGCAGGGGAGGGAATTGCTAGTCTCGGGGCTCACAAAACCTCTCGCGTGAGTCGATGTTATTTTTTATTTGCCCGTTAAAAACCGGCGATACCGCGGGTAGGGGGCGGGTACGAAGGGGTGCTCGGGTCATAATTTCTACGATGGGTATCTTCTGTTTGCGTCTCCAAGTTTGGACCCCTTTTTATAAAGAATTTCTTCTCAAAACAATACCACGTTCGAGCAGTACCTCAATTTTTAGCAACCCGTTCTAGAATTTAAGACTACTTGAAATCCCTCCCATTGGTGATGACAAACCTTATATTGTAAAAAAGTGAGCCTTGGATTTAATGTATTGGTTTTTCGTTGGGTTATCGGCTAAACATCACACAAAAACAAGGATTTTCAAGCTCCTTTTCTGATTAGGCCTTAGCCAATATTACTGATTTCAAATGGTGACAAAAGAAGTATCTCCTACAAAGGAGTCCACCTCCCAACCCCTTAACTAAACGAAACAAAAATCACAAAATGAATGAATTTCAACAAAAATCGGACTCGATCGTTTTTCAGGAAGAGAGGGAGCGGGGGTGAGGGGGTGGTCACTCAAAGGCTCCGATTTCGTTGGAGGAAGGTGTGGGTAGAGAACAAGGTGGAAAAAGGTGTATTTTTTAACGAAATTAAAGGTGGTACTGAGCGTACAGGCGTTCAACGCTTTGGGACAAGGTATGTTGAAATTAAGAGGCTATCCATGAGAAGACCATGCAAAAGGTGCTACAGTGCACATCACAGAATTAGCTCAAACTGTCCACATAGGTATAACTTGGTGTAGTATAGGTAGATATGGTATTAGTTTTGTTCAAGCTTCTTTCTATTCTTTTTTTCAGGGGAGCTACCCTTGAACAGCCAAATCTACACTGAAATATGTTCAAATTTTGTGATTTTTTTAATGACAATATTTCTGGAAAATTGTTCAGCAATCCAGGTGAAACAAAATTCTCACAAACTACCAAGTATACACTCTTAAACGATGACAACATAATCAGTGTGACTCTTCTTTATTAAATTTCCTATAGCATTATTTAACATGACATACGTTAATGAGAAAAATTATGCAAATTTCTTGAGTTTTCAAAAAAAAAAATAAAAAAGTTCTCGCGGAGCTTCAAGTAAAGTGAAATACTTGATGATTTACGCAGAGGTATTTTCTTTTGCTCTGGTATATAAAACTTCTGGGTATTGCAAAAGTTTAAGAGAAATACCGAGGTTTTACTAGTCACCATTTGCTTACCGATCGTATTACTGACTTACGATAATGCCACAATTAATGAGGATTGGTTACATTTCCCCAGTACTTTTAAAAGAAATTGCAAGAAAAACTTCCTAATAGGAGATTCTAACCTGCTCTGTACATTGTTATGTTTCCACGGGATTATATCTGCCATTAAACCGTCCAAAAGTGCACCTTCCATTGCCGTTCAGAAAGACTGAGTGGTGCGATAAAACAAAGGCTGCGACTTATTTCTCAGATTTGGTGCTGTTGAAAAGGCCAATAAAGATTACGACAGAACGGCCACAACTCATGACAACAGTCAACCACAACACTTTCTTCCGCCATATTGCATTATGCGCCTGCAATGAAAAACTGACCTGCGGTAATAAAGTCCATTGTGTAATCAACGGGGAGTGTTCTTTTGCTTGGTGCTTTAGAAAATGGCTTGCTTTGATGTCATTTACAAATTTCGTATTTTTGCTTCATCTGGCAAGGGGTATGC